GGACTGCAATGACTCAGCTCATTATCCCGGCCGAAAAGAAGCGGCTGCCTTTGTGCAGGGCGGCAGCGCGCTGCTGGACTGACTCACCCGCTCTCATGTAATCACGGCCATTGTCATTCGCGGACCCTCTCCGTCCGATAAAGCACAAGTAGCTGCCATCACAATGGCAAGCTCCGATACACRGATACACCGTGTAAAGCTGATTCTCTGCTGGCACACATCCCTCTTTATTCACACCTCCGCCAGGTGGGTGCGGAAAGCTGCTAATTCAGAGCGAGCTACAGGCGCGCTCAGCTCTGATGAAAGTGACTCTCGAAAGGGCAGAGCAAAGGGCAGTTTCCCAATACCTTAGTGCTGGTAGTAAACTTGCAGTTGATTTTTTTTTTCTCTATAAATTCTGACAAGACAAAAAAAAAAAATCAAAACCAATATGTTGGTGCAGTCTACTACTAATTCAGCATTTTGCAACCAAACTTTTGGTGTGCTGCAAAAAACATCAGCCACCCTCCTGCTCCCAACCCAAACAAAAGACCCAACAACACAACCCTGGCAGAAAACATTCAGTCATAAGAAGGGGCACCAAGCACTGATTCCTGCTGTTTGTTATTGCCTGTTGGTACTGCAGTAGTACTCTTGGCATTTGACCAGGGAGAAGGACTGCTTAGTAGCACAAGGAAGTTATGACACACTCAGTACGGCACAGACATAAAAGATACATTGCAAATGACCTCTTTTTTTTCCTTTCCCTTATCTGTGGCTAGATATAGGACCATAGAATTTATATATATATGAATCATAGATTTCACTGAAAGGTTTCCTGGAAGAGCCACTTAAACAGAGTCTCAAACTTCAGTCATGGTGTCAGGGCACTGTCACCATTTCATAGCTTTATGTGCACAGTGGTAGACTCATGTTCTAAACTGCCTTTTTTCCCCCATTTTTGTTCTCATTTTTGTTTGTGACAAACAAATTGCCATGGCTGTATCTTTCATAAATCCTGGTGGAAATGAGCCACTTGGACTAGCAGGGAGAAGCCACGAGATACCTAGGGATCTTTTAATTTGYTTGTTTCTTCTTCCTCCCTTTGTTGCCTGAGCTCATTTTATTTCTGCAGGTCTACAAGGACCCCTGCACGCCTGCTATTTGTGAAATTTTGCATTTTCACGTTGGTAGGCTGGACATGGGCCAAACACCTCGCACTTGCACAATGGCAGCAGACAATGTGCATTGAATTTTCTCTGCACACAAGGGTCAGTGACCTTTCTCATTCACTTGCCTATTTCCCTGCTACCCTGTAGCTCACAGATAAGTCATTGACTGTTTTCTGCTGGCAGTGCTGCTTATGTAAGAAACTTCGTCCGTGTTTGATGTGAATTAAGGCTTATGAATTCKGTCACATGAAAGTTTCCTCTAAAAAATTGGAGAAATTGGCAATGCTCTGCCCTCTTCTTCAGTGCTATTAAAGGCTTTATCATGCATTCAGTTCATGGYTCCCCACTGAAATGCAAAGTTTTCAGCAGCAAGCACTGGCTGAGTGTCAGAAGCTCTTTAGTTCATGCCTGTGTTTTAGCCAGTAAATGTAACTGCCTGGATCATCTAGGGAACACTAATGGTTTTGACTGACCTCTACGGGGTTTCATTTAAAAGTACCTGAACCAATTGCTTTGAGCAAATACTTGAAATGAGGTGTCTCCAGAGCATTTTCTCTCAGCTCAGAAGCCAAAGCTGGGCCATGGGCCCAGAGGGGCACGCAGGGGCAGCAAGGTGATGGRCTGCAGCTGCAAAGAGGTGCATGGTAGCTTCTGGGGCGGCACTGGGCAGGGACAGGCAGCATTGCCAAATACTTCTCACACCTAGTCTGGTATAACCCAGTGTCCTTGGCAAAGAACTGCAGCAGCAGAGTCTGTGCACAGTCCCAGCCTAGATGGCTACAGTTCTGTCCCACCAGACATCCTTGTTGTCCCTGTGACTGATAKTGATATAACGAAAACCCACTGCTTCCCACTCAGGGTAGAGATGACCCTTCACCTCAGTGCTGGACAACACCTGCTGGGGCATTGCTCCTGCAGTGCAAAACGTTCCAGCTGATGCCACATTGCTGCTCAAGGCTGTTCAAGTCATGTGGTCCTGACTGCTGGATCTTTCACTTCTGACATCTTTGCTTGCTCTCCACAAGGGCTGAAGGCAAAATGGCCTTTCAAGAGCCTGCAGTATTGGGATCCTGTTGGGGGAGGAAGGATGAGAGGTGCAGCTAAAGAGAAAAAAACATATTGTGAAAAGCTTCAAATTTCCTGCACAGCCCACTGAAACTGAGAACTACTTTCCATTTAAAAAACAACAACCCCTGATGAACTTGTTCCTCTGGCATAGGAAGCTGGCCTAGCAGCCCGAGCAGGTGTTGACTTTGTGGCAGCTTAAGATCATCTCTCCAGYGCTCTTACCTGAGAGGAGTCTGATGGGAACCAGCCATGATCCTATGGCTTCTGCAGCGTGCTCCAGCAAGCACAGCTGTTACAGTAAACATGTACACCAATGCAGAGAGACCTCTTTTTTGTGGCAGAGAAAACGGCCTGCACATCTTTCACATGAAAAGAAATTTCCATTTGCTCTTTTTAGATCACCCTTATTAATCACCGAGMTATTTCTAAACAAGATATGGATTTGCAGCATAACATAGGCAGAAAGTTCATGCAGACAAGAGAAAGCACAGCTCAGCTGTGCTCATCAAACTTTTCTGTGTTCAGGTCCAGCTTCCTCTGTTTCATTTGTTGTAATAATGCTTGCCTTCCCACATACTTTTCCTATTTTTATCTCTGTTTACAATCTCTTTTCTCATGAACTGTCTTTCTTGCTTAAGAAAATTAAGGAACAAAATGCTCCTCTGGTTTCCCTCTTTATTCCTTCCAATATGGTTTCACAGTGGACTCTTTTGGGATATGTTCCAGAGGTTTAGTTCTTTGCAAAGTATTGACACATGTCAGGTAAGCTCCGTGCACCACACTGTCACCTTAAGGCTCCAGTCCTAGGCTGCAAATATGTGTCTCTTGCATAGGCAATAGACCCTGAGGTTTTCACAGCACAGGTGTATCACCTGTACCACCACAATATTAACAAGGATTGTGTTGCAACTAAAACCTGTTGGAAGAAGGAGCAGGAAGGTTGGCAAGGTGTATGGTGTCCTTATTAAGTGGCCTGATCTATGGGAAAGAATTTCATAGGCAGGAAATTATATGGGGCACAGAAAATGTCTGTATCCTACAGCCCTTTCTATCCCCCCCAAATTCCCCACTTYGCCCACACCTCCCCTTGTACCTGGAATCTCCATTGACTTGGAAATAGCCACGATCCTTAGTGCTGTTGTTTTGCTGGGAGGAAAACAGCTTTTCCTGTGGAAGTGTACAAAAATGCAAACTGACACCTGTGCCCCCCAGGCACTGCCATGTGCAGTAAATAGAGGCAGCATTGCCTCTGCTGGGGAAACAGGCGAGGGACACTGGGCATGGCAGCCCCGAGTTTGGCCCCTGTGCAGGGCAGCAGAGCAGGGCACTGGTGGAGTTGTCACAGATRCCGTGAGGCAGTCACCTCCTGGTAATTTTGCTGTCATTAGGTGCTGCTCATAATGAGAAATCATGATTTTACTGTGGTTCTGGTATGTTGTCCATAATTAGCGTGCAGTCCTGTAATACTAATTACCTTAAGTATTAATTCCTTAAACATCAATTTAAAAAATCACGTGAAAATTTACCTCTTCCTCAAATGAATCATGAGTTAACATGGGGGTACTTACAATGCACTACTTAGACTTGCTTAATTAGTTAATCTCTGTAAAGGGGTTTCAAATGTGTGAAGAGCTATCAAACTGCTAAGTGCCTTATCTTCAATTAATTTTGTGCAACTACATCTTCACTACCGAGAGGGTCTTTAGAGTGCTGAGGAAAGGAAAAGGAGACATTGCTTCTAATTTTAAAAGTAACTAATGCAGAATAAAAGGAGTTAATTGAAAGATGATTTGACATAATGGGAATAATTGTGAATACACAATTTCTTTTGTTTCAGCTAGTGCTGAATAAGAAAGATTAATCATTTTTATCCCTCCTTTGCCTTTGTTAGTCTCTGGTTTCTTGGTTTCCGTCTCCTCCTGGCCTTAATCCTCTCTCAGTATTAACCCTCTCTCTTCCAAATGTGTTACTACCTTAGCAAAAAACAAACCAACAAAAAAAAGGTTTAAAAAAGGCAAAAAACACCAAAACACTCTTCAAGCTGGAGTCAYGGAGGTTCCACCCTCATGCAAATGATAGGGGATCTTGTTCCAAAAGAAGCCTCATGGACTTCCATTCAAAAGAAGACACTAAAAGACCAGAGCAGAACTCCTGCAGGAGAACAGGGCCAAGTCCAGCCCAGGCAGTCATTTCCCTGGATCACCGTGGTAGCAAATAAGTTCTTAATGTGTCTTTCAAAGTTTTCTATTCTCTTTAGAGCTTATATGCCGTGTTAAATATTCTCATTTTACTTCACCCATTAAWAATCTGCTTTTGGTGGAATTCTCAAAATGGGTTCTTTGTGCTAATACTCTGTCTAGCTGGAAGCTTTATTCACGACAGCTACATTGAATTGGACTTCACCAAGAACCTGTTTCCTGGGTTCTTTTTCTCCCACTGTGACTAACAAAGGGTAAGATTTTTTTGTTGTTGTTGCTGAGTCTGATTTGTGTTCAGAGGTTTTCACTTGCCTTTTCTTTCTTTATCAATAATGATTAATCCTCACTTCTCTTGGCTGACTGCTGAGCTCCCACATGTTGTGAAAAATTCAGGCAGCTTGTTTAATATCAACTTGACTAAGCAGTGGTTATGTAGCTGAGTCCCCTTCAGAGGGTTTGGATCACTTTTAATGTGCATTTGCAGTAAATTTCTTTCACATCTGGGCATTCACTCAGCAATTATTTGAAAACCTATTCATTTACCTTATTTTATCCAAAAGAAACTGGAACAGAGAACAAACTATTTGATGGCTACAGCTTTATTTTCTGGATACTGTAAAGTAACAGCTTAAYCTGTTGGATGAGGTATTTCTCTAGTAAGGCAGATTTGTATACACAGTGATCCTCAACACAGCAAGTTCTCAGGGAAATAATTTCTGACACGAAACTGGAAAAACATCTTCTTTCCAACCCTCCCCAATTCAGTTTTACAAAATTAACCACTGAGGGATATTGACTGTTATCCAATCCAGTGGATAATAATTCAGCTGAAGGCCCTGATCAGCTCTAATCAGGCTATCTAAGCAGAAGTGTAGGTACCTAAGAGAGCAGCTTGAAAATGGGGTAAGTTGTTACAAGGTGCRGAAAGAAGGGCAGGACTATCAGCAGAAGCAAAGGAAGTAGCTTCTTGCCCTCCCATACCTTCATCACTTGTATGTTTGTACAAAAGCTTACAGTATTCTCTCCCTTCATCTGGTATATCCATACAGTCCATACACACAGTGTGAGATGGGTAAGCCTCAACTTCAACCTAAAGCTCCATCACTTTCCTTCCCTAACTGAAGGATTAATGTGGTTACCAATGACCATTTAATTCACGTGGGTGTTCATCCTGCCTCTGAAAGAAAGGTGGAATGGAGCCCRAAGAGACAAGGAGTGCTACAAGACCCAAAATGGTGGGATAGGACTACCTGAATACTGAACTTGAAGTTAACCTGAAGCCTGACTTTTCTGAGGTGCATTTCCACAGAACAAGCTAATTGCAGGAACTTATCAGCAGTTAGCCAAAGAGGTGAAAGAGCAGGGAGGATCCAGCAAGGTCTCAATGAACCATCCAAGATTTTTGCTCCCTCCCCTTCATCAGAGAGAAAAAATAAGGGAAAAAATTCTTAATCTTCTTCAAAAGGGTTCTCTTTCATACCAACATTCCAAAAGATGAATTGCCAATAAATTAAGACAAAACAAAAACCAATGTATGTCCTGGTGGCAAGGGAAGATGCACTCCTCTGTCCCTGTCATGTCAGAAGAGCAGCTGCAGCACACCCCTCTGGGCCACACTGTGCCCTCACAGGAATGTGACATAGTTAGCAGGGAAGAGACCCAGTTCCCCATGCAGGCGTCCTTTCCACCAGGATGGGTTGGAGCTGTCCAGGACCTCTATGATGTCTCCACTGCGGAAGCCCAGCTCATCGTGCTCCATAGCATCAAAGTCGTACAAGGCACAGACCCACAGCGTTCGCTGGAGAGGAGAGACAGGCAGGGAACAAGGAGTCAGAGTCCCTAAGATCATCTTCCTGTCACCCCTCTTACACTCCAGTAAATATGTCCACTAAGCAAGGGCAAGCAGTCCTGAAATTTAGACCAACTTACAATTAAACCAGGATGTGGCCAAGATGCCAGGAAGGAGGGACCAATTTACTGGGACACCCAAGGGACTGTGTTTGGTTTCTCAGCAGCCTCAGTGTATTTGTGGTTATTTGCACCATAAGGTGAAAAGCCAGATCTGTAGGAAATAGTGGCTCTGTCGCCTCCACCCTGTAAGGGCAGCCAGGACAGCCATATCTGAAGTTATGGGAGTACAGAAGGGCTCCTGCCTGAGTCCTGTTGGGCTGTAACTATAAGACAATCGCTCTGGGGAGCTGGCCTGATATCAAAATGTGTCCTTGGCCAGCAGAGGACTGAGAGAGCCAGCACACAGGAGAGAGTAGAGAGCATTGTAAAGAAGGGCAAGAAGGATACTTGCTCTTTCAGGCACTTCTGGGGCATRGGGGAAGGTCATAAACATTCTTCAGATTCTCACCAAGGTCAGGCCCACAAGATCAAAAGGATCTGGGATCTGTTTGGGTACATCAGTTTATTTGGGGTATGCACTGTAATGCGCACTTTGGTTAGATGTTTTTCTTATGAGAGTTTAATCATAAGAGACTTTGCAGTCAATCTCCCATTTTGGCCAGAAATCGTATTTTAAAGGACATAGCTTGGGCTTCTTTCTGGGAAATTGTTGTGYCCACACCACAGGGCATAGATAATTTAGGAGGTATATCTGGCAGGGACAGATGGAGATCTGTTTGAAGACAGATTTTGATAAATCTTCCATTCAGGGCCCTGCTTAAACCTGGCKCCTAGTTATTTGGTTGGACATACAGACCTTCCTATAATTGGATTTGTGGCTTTTAGATCACTGATGAGATGTGGCAGGCAAAAGCATGTTGTTATTCACTGCCACAGCCTGTGAGAGATGAAAACCATTGTATTTTGAGCTGGATTGCAACAAACATTTGAGACTTTTGCCAAAAGAAAGGGGCATGCCCCTATTTTTCAGCATGTTCCAAATCTCCTAATTCAATCTGCTCTCTTTCTCTCACACTTGACAAAGGTCTGCTGTCCTTCCCTTCTCTCCTTGGACCTAGGTTCTCTGGTTGCGGGCTAAGCTGTACATTTCCTCAAGGAAGAGGAGYATGCCTTAGGTCACACTTAGCTGGTGGGGAAATACTTTGGAGCTGGCAGTGGAATCACAGGCTGAGGCAGAGAAAGACACCATATTCTCTGTGAGCATTCACAAAGTGGGAATTTGCAGAGCAGGTAGTCACTTAAGGTCAACTGCCTGGTATGGATCCAGGTAAGGGAGTGGTCTGGGGTGTCTGCAGAGACACATTTGGATCATGCCCACATCCACTGTGCTAAGAGGCTCTGACACACAAGTGGGGTTTCAGGTAGGTGAGCTCTGCTTTGACAGCAGAGTAGGTCTGAGAGGATGAGCCAGGCACAGACAAGTACAGCTGAGTGATCTCAGGCCTTCTCAGGATTGCAGCAAAAATTAGTGGAAGAGACAGTATGACTACAAATGCATTGCAAGACAGAAAGAGAACTGTAGCATGGTACAGCATCATGAGGCAGATCTCCATAGAATTTTAAAAATGTACTGCAGATCTAGCTACTGATGTCAGTCACTGCCTGCTGTTGGTGGCAAAGACAATTCAAAGTCCTCTGCATTAATGGGCATGAAGCTGTCATAGAAGAGATCATTAGGCTTTCAAAAATGTATTCTGCTGGATGGGACTCATGCTTGATCAAAATCCATGGGTGAGCTTGTGCTTATTGCAAAGTCCCAGATGCCTGTTTTGTTGGGTTCATGCTTATCTCTCTCTTCCACTGAGACTGCATAAGACAGCTGAGAGCAGCTACCAGAACTATGCTCATACAACACTGCCGTCTTACCCTCAGAGTGCCTCAGAAGTAGATTCAAGAGACTGGGATAGAGACTTGAGACTCAAATGTTTTGTAAGACATGTGCTGGCAGGCATAATATGCTCCTCCTTATGCAACCTCCATGTAGGTGACATTGTCCAGACTGCTTGGCCATTACTAAGGGACCCACTGACTTGGGCAGATGAGGCCTTCCAGGCTCATCACCTACCGGTGTCTGTTGGTGCAGTGGGTCTGTGTGTCTCCGTTGCATAGCGCCTGCACTTCCTTGGCCATGATCCCTTAGTCCATGCAGCACATCTTTCCTGTCCAGACTCCCACCATATCTTTCCTAGAAAGAAAACAACAAGAGAAAAGTCATGTTGTGGTTTCGGCTGGAGTAGAGTTAATTTTCTTTGTAGTAGCTGGTATAGTGCTGTGTTTTGGATTTAGTATGCAAATACTGCTGATAACGCACTGATGTTTCAGTTGTTGCTAAGTAATGTCTCACTCTAAATCAAGGACTTTTCAGTGTCTGATCAAAGGAATATTCCATACTTTAGAACATCATATCCAGTTTATAAACAGGGGGGAGTTGGCCAGAAGGGGCCAATAACTTGCCAGGGACTGACATCAGTCAGTGGGTGATGAGCAATTGTATTGTGCATCACTTTTTCTCAAGTTTTATTCTTCTCTCTCTTTTTGTTATCTCCTTAAAAAAAAAACACCCACAAAAAATCAGAAAATAATAATAGCTATTATTATTATTATTATTATTATTATTATTATTATTATTATTATTATTATTAACTTTATTTCAATTATTAATCTGTTCTTAGCCCACGAGTTTTACCTTTTTTTCCTGAATCTCTCTCCACTCATATCAGTAGAAGGAGGAGTGATTGAGTGGCTGCATGGTACTTGCCAGCTGAGATTAAACCATGACACATGTATATACTGAGATGTATAAATGAGGGGATTTAAGAGTCATTAGTGGGCAAGAAGTCAGGGGCAAGCCCCCAAGTAAATCATTTAAATGTCTGCTTCCAATAGAGTCCCTGTGCTCCAGTTCTGCAAGCAATGACCCTCATGGAAGAGGTCAGCTTAAACTGTTCTATTTTGGATTTTACTTGTTAGAAGTTGAAAGTGGACTGGCCTCAGCTGTGTTTCAYAGCTGCTGGGAAAAAATGGCCAGAGAGGGGCTTTTTTTGGTCTCTGAGACTTTTGGAGAAAAACTAAGGTTGTTCTGACGCACAGATGAAAAGCTATGCTTGCCACGCTTGCCAAGGGGACTTTGGCCAATCTGTAGTTATTATAACCAAGCCCTGCCCACTCCTTGCCCTTCCTCTGTTCCATATATTGGTGGAATATCAGTGATGCTGATGGAACTGACTCTACTTCACCTTTTCTTGGGCTGCTCCATAGTGTAAAGGACAGTAAATAAGCCTATAAATCTATTAGCCAAATTAACCAAAGAATGAGACAAAATCAAGTTTAAAGAAAAGCAGCCACATCTGAAGATATATCACAYATCTGAAGACACAGACCACACATACAAAGTCATATCAACACAAATTGACCCAGGCAGATGGAGAGAGGAAGTAGGAAACATCTGGGAAGCAAGTTCTCTTTTGTGTGCACCGCTGAGAGGTGCAGATTTTTGACAAAGTGACTGTTTACTTGCTATCAAGCAGCAAAAATCTGGGCTTGATGTCCCAGCCCCTTTTTCCTGGTAGTACCTGTTGCTGCTGCAGTATGGGGATAGGATGCTCTACATATCTCTTGGACAYAGAAGAATGATCCTCTCCAGCTGCTCCTCCCAGGTGGAATCCTTCCTGACCTATCCGTTCTAGGCTCCCACCACACCTCTCCTGATGGAAGAAAGATCACAATGAGGTCAGGTTTTGCTTCCTACCACATCCTTGACTAAAGCTGTGTGATCATTGCACACTGATCACTACCACTACCCTCTATTCTGKCCACTCTTTCAAATAAAAGATCCCACCCTTCCAAACAGAGGGACAAATCAAKAATCCTGTATTTAAGATGCTTGTCATAGCCACTCTCCATCTGAAGTCAGGGTAGTACTGGGAGGTGCTGGGCTGAAAATAAGGCGACTGATCTGAGGATCAGCACAGGACCCAAGCTCTTTCTTGAAATACATCCCTTTGAATTCATTTGTCTCTGCAATGAAATCTATATATTACAATCATTTTATCTTATGGCTGTAGCTAGAAATTTGAATTGTGAACAGAATTCCCCACTGTGATGAATGCTAAACATACCCTGCTGTGCCCATCACCATAACAAATGTACAGAAAGTTTGCCAAAGCAAACTTGACTTCTGTTCTTTCATTTGCCTGTCTGCATCTTGGAGCAAAAMCATGTCTTTTCCTTCCTGCTCACAGTCAGCCCAAACAGGTTGTTTTACTGAYTATACATGCATACAATCTTTCTTTCCTTCCCCAGATTATTCATCACTGTGATCTTTCTCTTATAGGTCCCAGAGCTTCTATTTTAATACATTACTAGTGCATTTTAAAGGGCACACACATCTGATAAGTGGTCTAGAAAGAGACAACAACCCAAACCCCTTCTTCAGACTGAAAAATGTATCATCTCTCATTYTGAGCCAGCAAGAATGACCCAAATGCAGCCTATAAAACTTTACTGCTGTAATCAGCACGTCACATACCTCCTACCTTGCTTCTACCTGCACATCCTGGTAATTTAATACCAGAATCCGTTCCCAGTAAAGCAGGACTTCGGTAACTGTAGTGACCAGCCATGTTCACTCCCAGTACAGTGAGTGTAATGTGTAGCAATCTCTGGTCTGTTATTTGCTTGTTCCCCTGGCACAAAACCAGGCATTCATCGGCCAGGGATTTCTCTGCCTTCTCTAACATGGACTATACCTTCCCTTGAAGGCACATCTTGTTCCCATWTCTGCTATGTTCTTCTCAGTAGTACTTTCCAGTTCCTAACAGCCTGGTTAACTGCTCCAGGTTCTRCCCTCTGTTCCTCCACATTTCTGTTACTGTGTTTGCTCCGTGGCAGAAGATGGATAATTCTTCTGAGCAAATAAACTTGCAGTTGCAGTTGCATTATGGGTGTGAGCAAACACGCTAAGAAACCAGACTCAGATTCTTCTCAGTCACAACCCAGCAGTCAGCTYTATACCTTAGGAAATCTAGGCATTTCAACAAGGTAAATCCTGCTTCTCTTGGCATCTTACAATTTCTGCTCTGAGGTCCTAGCGCAGCTATAGCAAAGCACCTCTATGCAGATTGGAAGAATCAAAAAGTTCTGCTCAATTATATGACTCTACATCCCACTGAATCCACTAAAATCTGCATCTCAGGCCCCACCAGTGTAGTGATGTGGGTGGGTTTCCAGGGACTGAYTCTTCTCATCACCATCCTGAAACATTGTCATGGGATGAACTCCTTCTACAGAAAGGTTTCTGTCTGAGAAACTCCTAAGGACCGTTTATGTTTACCTTCTCGTCTTGGCTGTTGTCCCTGAGGAGGATTTGCTTCTGCCTGGAGATAGAAGTTGTCTTGTAGTAGTCCACTAGCTTGTTTAGCGAGTGAAATTTCTCTGTCCACAAGTAATAGTTACCCTTTGAATCCCTCATCACTTTGAAGTGTTGCACATCATCTTCATGCCTGGATCCCATTGGAAAAGTAAGAGATCATCAAACAGATTGAACATTTACCTTTTTTGGGAAAAAAAGTCTTTTCCAGAGGGGTGCCAAAACTTCTTGCTTGGCTAAATCTAGACTTCTGGAAAGTCATGCAATGGCTGTCCTTGTGCATAGCCAGATGTGGCTCTATTTCAGAAGACTCATCATTTGCAAACACAGAGTGCCCCAGGGCTGCCCAGTCACAAAGCACTATCAGAACAAAGCATAGAGTTTTAATGTCTCTCCTTTGAAATAAAGGCCATGGGAGCTTCTAGGGTGAAAAAGTGCAGTTGTTGTCTACCCAMTTGCCTCTGCAGGTCCTGTTAACATCCAGTCTGCACTGACTATAAGACATGTATTACACCTTTACACACCACGGGGAACACCACTACATGCAGACAGAGTCATGTGAAAACACACACAAAGTGGTATTTTATACAAATAATYGTATAAAATCTAGTGTATCATCATTACTATGGGTCACCTGCCCTATCTAAAAAGAAAAAAAAAGAAAAAAAAAGGAATTTTCCAATGCAGTTACAAGCCAAATAAACAGTCTCAACCTTCCGCTCCTTACTCCTCCTGCACCTCCCCTCCTCTCGCCTCTTGTCTGATGCGTACAATTTCTCTTTGCACCAGATGTGATCCSTTTTTGGTACTCACCACCTTGCTCTGTGCAACTCTAGGAACTCAAAATACTCTTCTCAGAGGCTACATCTGCACAGATAAACTAAATGGGGATAGGCAGGGTCTGAATGCTATYCTTGACTGCCACAGTCCCAAGCTGTTAAAATGTGAGCATGGTTGTGGTTTAAATGGAAAAGTTCTCCCTCAGATGGTGCTGGGCCATAGTTAGGAAGATAGAATAGGCCAGGAACTGTCTGACAGTTGAATTTGACAGTTGCTTGAATACAGCTCTTCTGTTTGGTGGGGTGAAGAGGGTTTAGCCATGGAGATCTGACCTCTGCCACACTGCTTGACTTTAGGGCCAGAAAAAGAGCCTGGCTTAATTTGTTAATGTTTATAGGTGCAAAKGTAACCCGAATGTTTTCCTGCATTCTGCCTGGACACTTTTTGAGCTGCCTGAATCAGCAAGTACACACCACTTGTAAAAGACTTTGTTAATCATGACTCTAACTTAAAACTGGTTATCGACTGTTTGACTATTTGACTGTTTGAAAATTGGGAAACCAATCATCATTTAAATTCTCTGCTTAGAAGCAAATGCTCTGAGAAATGCTGGGCTACAGCAAGTGGCTGAAATGCAGCTGGGCTGCAAGCAGTGAAAACCCATTCCTTGTCCAATGGCTGTTTAGTGACCTGAAGAAGTTCACATCATAATAGTAATCTCTTATTAGGTGGTAGTTGAATTATTGGATTCAGTAACCAGAGCTGTCAGGGAATTAAAAGAAATGGAAGACACATGTTAAGCACTGTGGGAGACTTTCCATGTACCACTCTGCTTTGCTGCAGCTCTTTCAGAGAAGGAGGTCACCAGGGGATGCAGCTTTGGAATGGGGCATTCAATGTGTCACTTGAAAAGAGGCAGAAACATTTGGGAATCAGATGCCTAATTTGTTCTCATTCACAACACAGCAGCACTACCAGTGACTGGCAGTATAAAAACTTCCCAAGAGGCTACTTCACATTTGGAATCCTGTCAAGGGGAGGCTAGGGACACCATTAAACAGGAAAAGAAGCAGGAATATGCTGYGAGAAGAAGATACCTGACAGAGATGGAAAAGTCACCATGAGAGTTCTGACTGGCTCGGACAATGAAGCAGCCAACTCCTTTGCTCATGAGAAAGTTCTCTGCTTCGTGGCGGGATATCTTCTCATCAAACCAGCTGTCAAGTGGGAAAATCATGGAGATGTGAATAAGGATGTGAATTAAAGTGAGGGACAAAAAAGTTGGGGGCAAGGAGAATGTGAATAAGCAGGATGGAGGAAGAAAACAATAGCATCAAAGGAGCCCATATGGCTACTCCCAATGGCCATGTTATGCTAAGGTACAGGGTTTGATGGGTGCAGACCATTCTTTTTTTGAGCAGTAAAAGCACATAGATGCAAAGAGAACAATGTAAGCTTTGGTCTGCTAAGAAGCAACTCTCTGCTGAAACTGTAATTACAGGCACAGTACAATAAGGTGTTAGTCAAAAAGATTGTAAATKACAAATGTGTATGTATACATATACACACACATAATTCTCAGACATATACATCAAAATCCTTTTTGGCAAACTGATTGAAAATTACTGGGCTATGATGGATATATTGCAAGGAACACATATAAATTTTTAGCAGAAGCAAGCCATGAAAGTTTTAGTATTAATAAACTGGTTCCTGCAAGAGTTATAATACCACAAAATTGCAGAAGCACAGAATACATAAGCACACTTACGCAAATTTAGCCAGGCATAACAAACAATAGCATAAGGCACTGGACTAATAATGAGAAAGTCACCATAAATAGTAAAAGAATACAATGTCAGTGGAATTTTTTTCAGTAGAGACATAAAAATCACTACATTTGCATATGTTCACTCCATAGCTAATAAGATCGACAATCTGCAGCCTTTGCTTTTATGTAATGCTTAATTGCCTGCATAGCATTTAAATTAAGGACTGATAATTTCCTAAGATCCGTCACTTCCACTTCAAGGTTTCTTATTATCATCACAGTTTACCTATGTATTATTAGCAAAGGGAAATCGGACTTTGATGAGCCTTGATAGCCAGTCTCAATGATTACTTGACAGGAAAAAAAGATGGGTAAAATCAATCCATCAAAAATAGGAGGCAGCTTTCTTCCCTATATCTGGTTCTGTCATCTGGCCTGAACTGCTTCAAAGCGCAGACCTGGCTCTTAGAAAAGTGTCAGAGTGGAAATATTTCTTCACTGCTCTTGCACAGAGAAACCAACATGAGAAAAATGTGTGTGAAAAAGAAGCTGCCAGTGTTCCTGAGTGATATCACAGCCCCGTGAAAGAGTGAACAWGAAAAATTGACTAGAAGATCTCATCCCCCTGAGGCCCAAAAGTACAAGCCCATATTTGCACAGCAAACTAATAATGTCCTTCAGTTCAGCCAAACAGGCTGGCTTACGTCCAGAAGGCCAGTAAGTGCTACTTCCAAAGGGGACAGAGGCACTTTCTTGTAACCTCAAAATCCCCGTGTGTTCCCAGTACAACTGCTCAGGGCACAAGCACGTTATAGCCATGAGCACAGGGCTTGGTGCACACTCTGCTTTTTGGCTTCTGAAATGCTGCAGCGCTTTTGAAAAAAGAGGACAATGAGAGGTGCTTCTGGAGCATTTTTGCTATCTGAAAGATTGTAAAAATCCCATGCACTGGCATATTTATGGCATAGGGCTGAAGAGCACATTTAACACACATTCCAACACACATCTGTCCTTTCTGAAAGTGCAGTGCCAGCTCCTCAGCGGGAACAGAGAAATGCAGGTACACCTGTCCTCTGACAGATCTATTTGGGGATGTGTGTGAGTGTGTGTGAGAGCAGGGCCTCATGTCTGGTCTATCAACTCTGCCGATCCATGAGTAACACCAGCTGTCACAGTCGTGCAGCATTGCACTGACCTCTAGTGCACCGAGAGAAACTCACACTTGGCATGGGGGAGGGAATGCGGATGGCAGGGTGGGAAAAGGGACTCAATGCAGTTAAGAGTCGAAGGGGGAGGGAATTTCTTTTTTATAATTCGTTTTCAGAAAGATCTCTTGCTTTTCCTTTTGTGCTTTGCCTCTGTTGCCAAGACTTCACATAACGATTATTCTCCTTCTCTCTGAGGACATCTAAATGCAATTCCTGCCACATCCCAGCGACATTCCTCTGAGCAGCAGTAACACGGGTCCCTTGGGAGTGACAGCGATCATCGAGATCCATTTAGCTCCGAAAGAACAGAGGATGCTTTGGAGTAGAAACATGCTGTGCTGGCAGAACTGTGTGTAGCATTATAGCAACCCTTGCCAGACCCAAAGTGTAGGATGTTATACCCAGCACTTCCCCTGTTCTGTCCTTCTCTGTGTCTGCACATGTGCTCCGGACAGCACGCGGCAGGAAAGCGCTATGATGGTGACACCATTCCTGTCACACTTACGGGGGTACATGGAAATCAATGAAGTTCTTAGGAACGTAGCCCTCGTGACTTCTGAGCTCAGCCTTGTACCACTCTTCCTGGGAGCTCAAGATCTGCAATGGAGAGATGGATGGAATAAATGTGTCTCCTGAGAAAGGCAAAAGTAACCAAGAGTCTGGTAGAAACCTAGAATATCTTGTAAGAATAAAAGAAAATGCTACACGTGCTCTGCTTCCCACCCACGGTGCAACAAGGTTAGTGGCTGATGACCACTTCAGAACAAACAAGCAATAAAAGATCTGAGCACAATTAGACAGATTGCTTGTTAACTTTTGCCTTTGACTACATGTCCAGGCAGCCAGGGATATTGTCTGTGTGTCTCTGATGCCTGTGAAATGAAAAGAAAAAAAAAAAAAAAACCAACCAGCTTTGAAAGATTTAATAAGGATTTAAGTTATCCTCTCTCTTTAATAGTTGGTATTGGAGCATCTCAGATTCACCAGGGAAGAAGAAAATACCTGTGAAAACTCCTCTGACATATGGGTATGGAGGGATATGTAGCTCTATCTGGGTATGTTACGACTGCACAGATGTTACCATGCACTCTCACATGTCATTTCACAAGAGATTCTTTAGTGGGTTAAGTCTTCAGCTGCCCTGAGCTTTGCCAAGATAGATARAAGTAGGAAGCACAAAGTATTTTCAAGACACTATTATACATAGGAGATTATAGGTTAGCAGGAAGTGAGTCCACATCACACACTGGAGCAGCTTCAAGTGTGCTCATATTATTGAGAATAATGGTTCTTAGGAACTTCACTGCTGACCAGGGAGGGCCCAAATTCACAACACCCTGGCTGATGGCCCAAGATACAGCCCTAAGTTSAGAAGAGAGGACAGGAATACAACCATGCTGGGCTTTTACTGCATATGTTGTTGTTTTTGGTGTTTTGCCTGACATTTCAGCTCCTGGGACAGATTCTGCTGTATGTAATAGACCATGTTTCTGCTCTTTTTGATTTTGKAGAGGAGTCTAAAAGCATGAGCCATGACAGTTTTAAAAGGAGAAAGCAAGTRGAAAAGACACAATTTAAAATCTATTGTTAACAGTAATAATACTTATAATGTGAGCCAATCTCATGGTTTTAGGAGCCTAAGGCACATTCTAACTGCTTCATATTGGCAACAGGACGTTACTGTCTCTGCAGCCAATTCTTCATTGCCTTCCCTGCCACATAGACCTTTTTTTTTTTTTATGCATTTGGATTCAGAAAACGCAAGGAATAGAAAAATGCGGAATTCCCTACTTGTATAGTCACTGCTGTCCTCTTGCCTGGGTGGATCTTTTTTTCCTGCCGTGGCCAAACACAGGGGATGACAGTTACTTCAGGCTCATGCTCAGGCACTTCTCTGTTGGAAGGGGAGTTTCTGGAAAGATGCACCTGCTGTTTGCCACTGCAGGGCAGGCAGGTTTCTCTCAGTGTGTCATCCTCTCAGAGAAGGATGTGGGGGGGCTGTAAGAGAGTGGATTTCCTGCTGTCACTGCTGGTTGAGGGCCTCATGTTTCCTGTTTTCTAATCTCTACATCAATACTTCATCTTATCTCCTTTATAAATCACCAGGTTGTTACAGGCAGCACGAGGGTGCTCATGATGGGCCATGAATATATGTGTGCCTATGCCAGAACAGAGTTGTTATTCAGGTTAATTTACTGCTACTATGGYTCGGGTGGCTAAGGTGTTATTTTGTTTACCTCAGCGACATTAAAGCAAGAGGCARTTTGATTTTTCTGGCAATGAATTCTCCATGACAACTAATAATAATAATAATAAAACTGGCGTGTAGTGTTGACACTTTTCATCAGTAGCTTCCATCGTACTTTGAATGGAAGTTCTAGCTTATAATGATTTTACAGGAAGGGAAACTGAGGAACAGAAAGAAAAGTGATCTGGCCAACACCAACATCCCAGCCAGAACTTGATGSAAGTCTCTGGAGAATGACTTCCTGAGAAAAAAAAACTGTCAGTAAAGGTCATGGGATAGCAGGGACTGACTGGGGAAGAATTAGGAAGAAGTGTTTATCTGTGGTGAAGAGAGACAGTGATTTCTCCAGAACCTTCTCACAGCTCTTTGGAAAAATTTGGTATTAATGAGTTCTGGGTGCTATCAACTTTGTCTAAGTRCCAAGAATTAAAAGGCCAGTAAAATAAAAAATGATGGTGACGGAAAAGGCAAGGCTGAGATCCAGTATCTGATTATTAACTGGAATAYGTGGGACTGCACAGAGAGGTAGCAAAGCCTCCCTGGCCAAACAAGGGTTTACATCCTGTTGTTGTACAACATCTCTTTGGACAGTGGCAGAGTTAAGGCCTTCGAAAGGAGTAATACGCCGGCATTTTCAACTGAAACAGAACATCTGGGGCTGAGAAGTGGATAAATAATTAGGGTGAGTTCATCTGTTGGACTTTGGTAGCATTAACAAGAACTGTTCTACTATAACATATACAAATCAACTCTAAAGAGATTTCCAGATGCTCTGTGTTGTATATGATCAACTCAACTTCTGCCATTGTCCCATAGCTAAATTCCTGCAAGGGTGTATATTACATTATGAAACCAGGAACTCTTAAACCCTTCCATTATGTGTGTGACAGACTGTCTCATGGACTTTTCTATTTGCAATTGCCTAAAAACCCTGCAGCATCTAACAATAATTATTAACAGTGAAAAGTTAGATATAAATTTTATAATGGATAATAGTTATCTTTTGAACAGCTTAAGAGCTGGAAATAAGGAAGTCAGCAATCTCTCTGGACAGCACTCATCTTGCCTGCCTTTAGACAAAGTCATCATAAGGTAGTCACTGTGGACTATTTACACAGTCAGTGAAAACAGCCAGAACCCTCAAAAGCTATCAAAGATCTTGATCTCTGCCCCAGCTAAGGTACTTAACCTTCCCTGCTGACTACTGGMGGACTGCAGGGCAACTAAATCCATAGTTTATGGACATAAAATCAAGAAAAGTGGACACAGACTCAAGTAACATGGGAATTGTTGGTTGACCTATTTCAAACCCTAGAGATAGCCATCCTGCATTTGTATCCTAGTTTATAGATGTCTGCCTTCATCTGTTTTGTCAAGGCAAATGGAAGCACAGAAAGACCTGTCAGCAGACTTCTTAAAAAATGCTGTTTAGTCAAGTCTGGGAGTGTACTTACCTTCAACATATCCCCAGCCTGGAAGCTCAACTCATCTTCTCCAGAAGCAGTGAAATCAAACTTAGCAATGGCTTCCATACTATGTCTCAGGGGCAGAGCGAAGCTGGAAGAAGCATACACTTGTCAACATCTATGAGCTACTGGAGTAGCTTGTGGAGTCCAGCCTCCTGAAATTAGACAGGCCGTGCTGTAAGTGGTATGTGGAGAAGSATGCATCAACCATTGGCAGCCATTAGTTACTAGACATGGAAAGAAAGGTAGAAGAGAAGGCTTGGCTGAGGCCCTAATTAGCTGAAGTCAGAAGTACAAACAAGCTGTAGTGTAGGATTATTCCAACAGATCATTTTCTCTAGAGCAATCTCATGGGAAAAACTTGTGTAGACCAACCACAGCTGCCATAGCTCCTAATAAAGCGAGTGACTCTGTCTTGCAATAGAAAAATGCATTTGYCCCCTGCAGTGACTTACTCTTTACCTCAGGAGTGAGGTAAATTGTGGATAAAACAAACAGGGCTGCAATAAAATTTTTTTCTTGGACAATACTGAAGGTTGAAAGTTTTTCCTTTGTGATGGCTTAGCATGGGTGACCACAACTTTCAGCTAGGAAAAGCTATTTGGAGAAAGGCTGTATTCCCTATTTTGAAGCAGGCAGAGTTCGCCTATGTTGGTGTTGGTAACCCAGGAGCCTGAAATGTATCAGACAGCCTGCAAACCAAAGCCTGCTTTTCAGCACCAAAGCAATGTGGCAGGGGAAGTGGCAAGATGAGCTTTGCTCCTTCACCACTTCCTGCTCATATAACTCGGATGTACCCCAGCAGGACCATTTTGGTAATCAAGAAGTACCAATTTCCCATGGCTAGCTCATGCACCCCACAGCTCACCTGGGGCTGCCAGGGACAAGAAACAGACAGGCAGGTGCTCTTGCAGCACGGCTTGTGAAGATTATCTGACAGCTCCAATATAGAAGTAATTTTCGGCTAGATTTTTCACCTAGATTCATCTGGGAACAAAGATCTTAAAGCTGCAAGTTCACTATCTAACCTTAATTCTCACAAAAACACCCAGTCTTTATGGCCTGAGAGGAAGTGCCATCATGCGTAATCCAAAACATTCTTAACCAGAAAGCTCTAGAAAGACACCGTATGAACAAACAATCCTACYTTATATTTCTTGTGTATTGGAACTGACACAAGATCCCCAAAATATAAAGTGGTTATACRGAGCAAGTTCCAGAACTTTGCCACTTTAAAAGCAAAACACTAGTGTAACCCTCCTGCTCAATACATGCAGTAATATTCCTCCTTTGACACATGGCCCAGGGATTTAATGACCTGTGTAACATGGATCCAGTGCCCAGCTCTGATACAGTGCAACTTAAATTGCTGGGAATCAGCTGGGAGAAAGTCTGCAGGACAAAAACTATAGAGGTAGGGCTGTTGGGACTGCACCAGCATGAGTCCAGAGATTKCAGAAGAAAACCACCAATATGGGAAGATATAAAACCTCAGAGGAAAAACAAAATCACAGTTTAGTTGGGATAGTCAGTCTGACTGAGGACCTGTCATGAATGATTGAGGTCACTGAGCTCAGTTGCCAGTGCCATCAGTCCTGACCCAGTTGGTGGCAGGTGGCAACCACACAGGATAACYCTTCACTTCTGATTAATGCCTATAAAGAATTTTTGGGTGCCTTTACACAGGTGAAGAGTAGGCTAATGTTTAGCAAAATATTTCATTAAATCCTATTCAGGTTCTGTGGGTGTACACTGTATAAAGCAGTTATTTGTTGGCTAAATTGTCTATTTCTTGCTTGCAGAGTCCCTTTCCACTTGACTTAAAGATGCCTGAATAAAGTGATCCACAAGAGGGGCCATAACATCCCTGGATATTAGTTCTGAGATATGTTACAATCACTTCTAACTATAAAAAGATGTTTATATGCTTCCTAGCAGATTCTGGTACCATTCTCTTTTTTGCTGCTTACAGGTGAATTTATATTGATGTGACTGATGAAAGGTATACAGCACCAAAGCAAATTTTTTGGCAGTCCATAGAGAGTTCTGCTTATTCAGCATGAGTCTGTTCTAAAGCAACTGGGGTTGCTTCAGTGTCAGGCCTCCCACGTAGGTTTGAGTACCCTACTGCTGAGATCCACCTTACACGTGCTATTTCAGCCTGCTGCCTCAGGCTTTCAATACTCTTCAATACTAAACTGTAACAGCCCCAAGCACATTGATACCTTATTTTCAGGCTTCGGTTTCACAGCTCTTCCAAACACTTTCACCTCCTATTCTCTCTGTCAACCTACTGATGCTCTTTACTTCTTAATTTTGATACCTTTTGCAGATTAGAGTCACCCTCTGATCACCCTACTGTTATTCCAAGGCATTGGTGTTACTCTGCAGGTGTACTTCAGGCCTTATTTGAGAACTGTCTTCTTCCATAGATGTTTTTGGATCTTTAGTCCATAACCCCCCACAAGCAGTGTCAGCCCCATTGTGTGTAAATAGAAGATAGGAGTATTAAATTGGAGAGGACTTAACCCTTAAGTGAACTGGCTAAACAATAATACTCTTTCATGGAAGAGAACTGAAGAAAAAGACTACAGGAGAATTACTTTAATAAGGGTTGTTTTTCAGTGTTTTATCTTGCAGTGGTTGCYTGCTGCAGAGAGATCAGAGCCAACAACGCAGATGGATCCTGGAACTCCAAAGTGCAGACCATTAAACCCAGCTAGAAAAAAAGAACATGCTTAAAAACAATAAATTATTTAAACAAAAATCCTGTCTTTGATTTCTGTCCCTTATTCACAAACGAGACAGTGAGGGTTCTCTCTTCAGGGGGCAAGAGAATAGAAAACCTTTAATTTTTCAATATCCCAAATATTAAAGGTGCTATTGGAATGTGGCCCTCTCTAAAGCAGAAGAGTTTGTGAAACAGTTAAAATCTTCTCTCTCACTTCCTTTTCAATTTCAGCAATCCCCGCCTTGGGGAGAGACTGGGAGACAGATACCTCTTCAAACAACCTAACACAAGGATTAAATGTGCCTTTCATTGCCAGCGGCTGGATTTAGAAGTGGCTCAAACACTGTCTACAGTGTTGGCTGTTGATAAATCAGCAATGCAGTAATGCWCTGGCCTTAAGCTCTTCCCCCACCAACTACTAAAGCAACACTAGCCAATAATCCTATCTTTGAACTCCAACCTACCACTTTTCAGCACCTGAACTTCAAACCAGTTCTGGCTTTCTGATCCTGTGCCTCGCTCCATCTGTAACTTAGAAAATCCCCACTCCACATGGGTCAGTGCTGGGCCTCCCCTGCCATAAGCCCATTCTTTTCCTCTCTGCATGTGTGTGACTGAGCACCACCCCACAACAGAGACAGGAATTTTTTTGCTATTATCACAACTTACATTTCTCAAGCACCTTTTATCCCAAAGGACAGTGSTGCAGTTTGCAGAGAGAGCGACAAATTCAGCTTTTAACTGCTTGGTACAACTCCTTTAAGCTTTTGATAACCAAGGACAATTTTAGATTGTGMGTAATGTTCTCTGTGAAAATCACCTTTGTAGACAGTTTAGCATGAAACATATGCAATGTTCAAAGAGGGATTTTTCAGTTCTGAATGTGAGTTGACCAGTACCCTTCATTTTGTGCTGGCTTTCTGCACACAGGTGAATTTTTTCTGTGGCTCCCCATCATAACAGGGTGGATTCAAGCGGCATAATGCTACAGCAATTCTCTGGGATTGGTACAACAGAAAGTTCACAAAAGGAAAGTGAAAAGCAGCATGGCTTTCTGACCACAAGGTAGGCATTTTAGTTTGGCGTAACACATTCCGTGAGCAAGAACATCAGTGAGTCTGTTAATAAAAAGTGCCAAGGCCTAAAACATGTCCGCAAGCAACAGAGTCTGCCAGCAGAGTCCCAGAGAGTTTAACACCATTACCCTACACCATGTTAGTTCCAAATTCAGCAGTAATAATGCCAGGGAAGGTCACCACCTATGAAGAATTTATCACTCAGGGACTGCCCAGCCTCAGCCTTAGCCTTCCTCAATTTCACATATTTACATCAGAAGGAGAGCAAAATTACAACAATGCTCTCTTTTAATAGAGCTTTATGAAAACTAGTTTTTACTTGTACACCTGTGGCATAAAAAAAATGCACACATATCCAGTCTGAAGGTTCATCCAGTGAGGTTTTGCACCAAGATATACAGCACGAGCTACTGTGTCTTTGTTCAGCTCTGCAAGAACAAGCTATTGGACTGATGAGCAACCAGGGACAGGATTCAACCCTGAACATCTGTACAGAAACTCCAGATGACATTTCAGCAGAAACAATGGAGAAGGAACCTGTAATCTAGAAGAGCTGTGGCAGATAACAGCTTTGTTTTCACCAGCTAAGCCACAGACAAGTGTCATGGGAATATTTAGTTCCAAAAACACAAACCTCTTGCTACGGAGTTAACAGTGCAGCTTTCCTGACTGTCACTGATAAGAGGGTAAAATTTATAAGGGAGAACAAGTCACTAAAACACTCAGAATTGTCGCATTTAAGTTTTGGCTATTCTGCCACCCAGRGCAATGGATAGTGTTTTGGCTGAACCTGCGTGCAAACAAAATAAGCTTCCTAGGAATTGGATTCACAGAACAAACAAACTTTCAGGACTCAATAACCAACAGCAATTGATAAGAAATGCCCCAAATGAGGATGGTGCTTAATCTCTCCAGGGAACCCAAGTCTTCTGTGCTACTTCCCATCACGACAGAGTAGAGTTGTGCAGCATYATGGGAAGCTGATCAACAGTAGGCCCAAAGTAAATAGCACAGCACCACACGATAGTGTGCGATTATAAAATCCCAAATCTTTGCTGTGCTGGAAAGATTGGTGTGGGGGACTGATGTGGTGGGAAGACACCTCCATCTGTTTGCCTACCTCCCCCCTCTGATTCCAGCTGGTCAGATTTGGCAGAGGCATAGGGATTTGCCCAAAAGCACTGCCCTGTTGTGAAAGCTGATAAACAAGATGGCCCTGATATCCCATGCTCTTCCCCTACCATGCAGTACTTCACCTTTCCTTCCAAAACCCCTCTTTCCTCCCTTGTATCTTGTCCCACCCAGCTTCCCCCACTCCAGTCTCAGAGCCATGCTCAGCCCATACCTT